TAATTTTACCATACGATGTTCCGAGTAATTTCTAACATTTTTATGATAGCAACCTGGTTGTGTGTACTCAGGTCGTGTACTTTTGTCACTCAGGACCTGCCTATGATTGGTTGGTGGGTGAGTTACTGTACCTTCTATGGGTGACATTGAGGCAGCTCGGCGTTTGGAGGCAGTAAACACTTCCAAAACGTGTCGAGCTAGGAAGCTACGGCAATTTTTACCCATATTGGCCTGTTTACAGCGTAGGGGCTGTCTGTATGCCGGTCTTTTGGTCCCTGATCAATCCGGAGCTTAGCGGGAAGGCAAGCTTGTTGCCCGTGGCGGGGGGATGCGGATACTATCAGATTTCAACAGCGGGTATTTTGGTATTCAGGTCGGGTAATTGCCCTAAACATTTGGAGAATCTTGGGATGCCCAATTCTACAAGTCCCGGGTGAAGCTCGCTAGTCTGCCCGGGGGTATCCCCTTCTACAACGACCCCGAGGCAGCTCGCTAGTCTGCCCGGGGATATCCTCTCCTACAACGGCCTCGGTGCAGCTCGTTAGTCTGCCCGGGGGTGTCCCCTTCTACGAACCCGGGACAGCTCGCTAGTCTGCCCGGGGGTGTCCCCTTCACAACGGCCTCGGGGCAGCTCGCTAGTCTGCCCGGGGGTGTCCCCTTCTACAAAGGCATCGGGGCAGCTCGCTAGTCTGCCCGGGGGTGTCCCCTTCTACAAAGGCATCGGGGCAGCTCGCTAGTCTGCCCGGGGGTGTCCCCTTCCACAACGACCCCGGGGCAGCTCGCTAGTCTGCCCGGGGGGTGTCCCCTTCTACAACGACCCCGGGGCAGCTCGCTAGTCTGCCCGGGGGGGGTGTCCCCTTCGGGGGGTGTCCCCTTCTACAACGACCCCGGGGCAGCTCGCTAGTCTGCCCGGGGGTGTCCCCTTCTACAACGACCCCGGGGCAGCTCGCTAGTCTACCCGGGGGTGTCCCCTTCTACAACGGCCTCGGGGCGGCTCGATAGTCTGCCCGCGGGCGTCCCCTCCCACAACAGCCTCGGGTGTAGCTCGCTAGTCGCAAGTCTGCCCGTGGTAGTCCCCTTCTTCAACGGCCTCTGGGCAGCTTTCTAGTTTGCCGGGGATGTGCTTTTCTACAACGGCCTCGGGGCGGCTTGCTCGTCTGCTCGTTGGTGGCTGCCGCCAGGACGCCGGTAGCGCAGGCGTCATTCCGGCGGCTTTGAATGTGGATGCCGGCGGGCGCTGAGAGCTCTCCCCTTTTGCTGGTCGGCTATCTATGACCTGATTACCTATAGTTTCGTGGTCACTGTTTTAACCTTTGCAAAGCTTTAGGTAACATTCATGGTCGTTATCATTGCCACGCATATCACAGGGATTAAGGTACACGTAACAGTAGCTGTGGCCTCTGTTGTTAGTTGCCTAACAACCATTGGGTTACCATGTTTTTTTGGGGGGACGGCGCTAAAATAATAACAATAATAATGACAATAATAATGACAATAATAATGACAATAATAATAACAATAATAATAACAATAATAACAATAATAACAATAATAATTAACATTAGCAATAATAAAAAAGCAGCTCGCTAGTCTGCCCGGGGAAGCCGTTTCTCACGGCCCCTGGTGCTGCTCGGGATGCTCCCTTCTTCCACCTTCTACAACGGCCGCGGGGCGGCTCGCTAGTCTACCCGTAGGTGGCTGCCGCTAGGACGCCCGGTATAGCGCGGGCGTCATTACGGCGGCTTGGAGCGCTGATTCCTGGAGCGGGCTGAGAGCGCTCCCATTTTTTGCTGGGCGGCTATCAACGACCTTCGTTGATACTGTTCTAACCCCTTCCAAAGTTTTGGGAAAATGCATGGTCGCGCTGATAGGTATGTGTATAGGGTTCAAGGTAAAGGAAAATACAGCTTTTGTTAACTGCCACAGAACTCATGGATGGTTGTTTTTCGTCGGGTATATCGAGGGTCTTTAGTTGGTGGAGGCTATCATCGCAGTAGTGGCTAATGCTAATGGTTGTTACTTGTTAGTCTTGCTGTAAGGGTTTTGGTATAAATGTAATATTGTTCTTCATTGGTGACCGCTGTATCGTTCACATTCATGTTGGCAGGTTTTAGGGATCGTGGCGTTTCTGGTAAGCTCCGGGCCAGGTTGAGGAAATAATTACTTACCTTCAACCAACTACCAAGCACGTATTTGGGTGGGCTCTGCCACTGGTCTCGACACTGGCGGCGACTTAAAGTCTTTTGTTGTTTATTTGTATCCCCCATTCGGTCTGCTGGTCTCGGGAAAGGGGTGTTTTGTTATGGCGCATTGGTGTCTGGGTGGATGTATTGAATGGGTGGTGACACCATTGCGCCGCGCGGGGGGAGGGGTGGCGGCCCGTTGGCAGGGCAGTCTCGGTTGAGACATGTATACTTGCTAGTATGTCTGTGTCGTGTTCATTGGGCTGAATATACCAATAGCCCCTTTTTGTACAGCTACAGTGTTTTTCCTGGACGGACTTGGTTGTGAGGTTTGCACTGAGGTTGGTTACGCATAGCATAGCTAATTGTCTGTTTGCTGGCAGCTCGAAGGGGAAGCGGAAAATACGCCCGGTTATATATAACAAGATATAACCGGTTTTTCCGCGACACTACGAGCGTCTTCTCTGGGGCGGCCCCGGAGCCGGGCCGGCCTCGGCGAGCAGCGTTCGGCGGCAGGCGGGCGGCCGCCCGCGCCCCGGGCGGCAAGGCTGCTGAGGCGGCGGCCTCCTCTGATTGGTGGAGCGACTCGTGTCACGTGACGGTGGCGGCGCGGGGTTTGAGTGTATATGCGCGGTCACTCTGTTCTAGGCCGCCCGGTCTGACGCAAGTCAGCAGTGTTCTCGCTCTGAAATGTTTTTGCGTTTCCCACCCACCCACCACCATTTTAGGGTTTTCTTTTTTTTTTACACGCACCACACTCTTAAATAAAGATGGGTTTTTCCACAAAATGTGGTTTTTTTCCCCAGCTAGGTCCCCCGGTTTTTTTCTAGTTAGGACTTTTTCCGGGGGAGGACACACACGACAGGGTTTCTAGTTTTGGGTGGTGACACCATTGCGCCGCGCGGGGGGAGGGGTGGCGGCCCGTTGGCAGGGCAGTCTCGGTTGAGACATGTATACTTGCTAGTATGTCTGTGTCGTGTTCATTGGGCTGAATATACCAATAGCCCCTTTTTGTACAGCTACAGTGTTTTTCCTGGACGGACTTGGTTGTGAGGTTTGCACTGAGGTTGGTTACGCATAGCATAGCTAATTGTCTGTTTGCTGGCAGCTCGAAGGGGAAGCGGAAAAGAACATTAAGATACTTATATCGACCCCAAGTAAACGCGCTAACTTATAACCTTCTTCAAAACTAGCATTGCGTTGTTTAAACTAAGCTGTATCTAAGCGTGGACGGACCGAGCAGGTACTAACCTTGTAAGTTGTATTCAATTTGATATTTTTTTCAGTTTGATAATAGTTTTCAGTAGGAATCGAGATGATCCGAAACTGCTAGCTTTTATAAACGAACACACATCGATCGATCGACTCCGAAGTGTGGCTTATAATAATTTGATAGGTATCTAATTCTTCCGACCCCGAGAGGTTATTTTATTTTATTTTATTTTATTTAATTTTATTATATTTTATTTTATTTTATTATATTATATTATATTTTATTTTATTTTATTTTATTTTATTTTATTTTATTTTATTTTATTTTATTTTATTTTATTTTATTTTATTTGCTTTATAGGTATATAGGTACGCGAATCCGCTGGTGGACATGGACGTTTAAACAAGCCCAACATGTCACTATCAATATACGTACACATTCCTATAGGTATGCTGGTCGTCTGTGTATATAGATATCGATGCTACTATTATGTATAAGTAGATGGTAGCCATTTTCACGACGGGCTATCCGGCAAATGCACCTGATTTGACCAAATCTGCACCTAATCTCTTTTACAGCAAATATCTTCATTTTATGAATTTATTTCAGTGTTTTAATCGATGATGCTCTCTGATAATATGACAAATAGCTGCTAAGAGACACACTGAATCTGATTTGACCAAATCTGCACCTAATCTGTAGGTACCAGATGTGCACCAAATGTGTACCAGATGGCCGTCCTGGTACACATTTGGTGCACATCTGGTGCAGATCAGGTGCAGATTTGGTCAAATCAGGTTCAGTGTGTCTCTTAGTAGCTATCAGCTAGGGTTACACTTATTGTTTATATGCCTGCTTTGTCGTATTATCAGAGAGCATCATCGATTAAAACACTGATATAAATTCATAAAATGAAGATATTTGCGGTAAAAGAGATTAGGTGCAGATTTGGTCAAATCAGGTGCACTCGCCGGATAGACCGTCGTGAAAACGGGTAATGGCTATACAGTATACGTATTATATCATCCATGGCTAATTATACCATACTTTCATGATAACCGTAGTTAACATTCATAACAATGCAATGAAGTATATATATATATATATATATATATATAAATATATATATATATATATATATATATATATATATATATATATATATATATATATATATATATATATATATATATATATATATATATATATATATATATATATATATATATATATATATATATATATATATATATATATATATATATATATATATATATATATATATATATATATATCGTTCGAATGTCTTGTTTTTTGCGATGTATCTCGAAGTTATTTCACGAGCTATGAACCGATTTGTTCGGAGCAGTAACCTCAGTTAAATGTCGTTTTTCTTTTGATACATTGACGAGTGACGTCGTGTACTTGACCTAAATTCTGAAGGTCGTTCTCTACGACCAGCTTATAGCGATTGGCCCATTGTTCGCTGAGCATTGTCAAAGAAGAATGTGATAAAGTACCTAAATGTTAGTCTTTGAATTACATTGTAAGTACGAAGGAGTGTTCAAGTGCACATTCTGAAATCACGTTCGGCGGTGTTTCAGCTGGTCCAGCCAACGAAGACAATGACGAGAAATATGGAGCAGAGTACCCGTTCTGCTCTCCACATTGCCTTCAGCGTCGTCGGACTTATCAGCTTTTTGCTGGTCCTATTCTTCAACGGGAGCACCAACAGCCCCGACCTCGGTATGTGTAACGGCATCTCGTAACGTTCATTCATTATGTGGCGCTGTCCGCGATTGAATGAAGAGTCGCTCACCAACTCTTCTATAGCCACAGGCGTGTAGGTTCACCCTATCATTATAGAGCTCTACACACTACGGCCCATGCATTACCTAAAGTGTCTTCAGGTACTAGTATGTACTTATATTTCATTCCATATCTGCATGGGAACGTATCGCTGTGAAACTTGAACGTCCCTGACACATAAGTCTACAAACCCTCGGCGCCATTTTAGCGCTGACTTGTGTATATGGCATGTTCAATGTTTTCTTTATATTTCAGGCATATTTAGCCAGCCGACGGGGAACGTCTCGGACAGGTTCAACACGTACATCACGCCGTCGGGCTGGACGTTCATCATCTGGGCCATCATCTACACCTGGATGGCGGTGGCCATCATATACGGTAAGTAAGTTATGCAGGCGATCCATATAGTGAGCCGGCTATTCGCGGGGGTCCCCGTCCGTCAAACGGTGTCCGTATAACCGGCAGTGCGGGCCGGTCAGTATCGATCGTCCCCGCGAGTACTGTATGTACAATGCATACAACCGGATCGACGGTTCACATTTCAGCCTGCTGTGTGTGTAGAAGTGCGTGCAGAATCGATCACGGGATGTGGACTAAACTACGACTGTGGACATTGGATGGTTTTTAGGTGCAAATTATCAGCCAACTTGGTCGACGGGCCAATTTTCAGAGGCAGGCTATTCCAACCGCTGACTTTTTTGCCTCGGGAGCCGGGCGTAAATAACACATGTGTTTGGTATACACGGTCTCTGTTATTGACCGGGAGCGGGGTGGGCACCCCCTCCCCCTCCCCTCCCCGTGCCTGGCACGTGGCGTCGATGGCATCCGCAGTAAACAGCGCAGTAATGAGGGCATGGCCCGGGGTATTGGGAGGGACACTCGGTGCAGTCGCATCGGCAAGCCGTGTGGGTGGCCTCTGGAGCCTGAGGTGCTCACTGCTCAAAGATATAATGAGTCCTGGCCGCTACTACTAATTACTCGCCTTTCTATCCATATACATTATACACGTGCTAGATTCTCAACGTGTTATATCTTTACCTCATGTCAGTCTGTTGTGCTCATTCTCGTCTTATCCTATGCATGGCTGGTTCGCGTTCCATTTAGGCAGAAATATCAAATCTGCAGCTTGTGTTTTATCATTTCTCTTCTCTTCCGTCCCGAGAAGGAAGTGAGCGATCGGGATCTATAAATCCTATCACGGGATTGGCCACTGATTCTGAACTATCAATGCGTTTAGGCCGTATGATAAGAGCCGAGAAATAAGCAGAGCGGAGCCTCGCTTCGCTAGCTGTCTGATCAACCGCTGTCGTACAAGCTTACACATAATACGTCATACGTATACCTGGGGTATCGTCACAGCCGGGGGACACGAGCTGCAGACTGCGTACATTATGCGCCGGGAGGTATGGTCACGTCACCACCGCGGGACACGAGCTGGGGCGTGCATAACATTAGACATAACGTTGCAAGGGTAACATGCCGCACCTACCCTGAGCGCGCGACCGTCCCGTGCTCTATCTGGAGCGTATCTATGGCACGTGCTGTATCTGAAGCAGAATCCGTCTCTCCCGTTCGTCCCTTCATCCGGAATGTGGCATACTGCACGTGTTGATCGTTGGTAAATGCATGCTTTATATAACCAGTCGTCTCGGTATAAGATACGGGAGTTGTTTACCGGTCGCCGTCTCGGCTGCCGACCGCTGCCGACTGGAGGACAGATAATCTGCAGCGGTGACCGATAAACACTCCACGCCCCACGGACCTTTAAACGGTGGCGTCACCGGGTATCAAATGGCACCACTGAGCCGGGAAATGCTGGCCAATTTATCCCGCGCAGACCGACGGAATAGCGTTTACGTAGCTGTTCAGACTGCATGAGGCTTGTCTATCAGGAACGGTCGGTGGTTTTCGGCCGGGTGCGATACGAAGGGGTATAAAAGGGATAGATACGAGTAGGTACAGGGTGGAAAGTAATTACGCGAACATACTTTTTCGTCTTATAGCAATGGAAAAAGCGGCGGTGACATGAAAATTTCATCTTTTCATATATTCCTATTTATGTGCGATACACTGACAAAGGCGTTCAGGCATAATTGACATGAGCATGTCAAGCACTGTTGGCCAAAGCTTAGTCCACGCCTCCTGGAGCTGTCTGGTGAGGCAATCGATGTTGGTGGCTACTAGCAGCTCTTAGACGCTCTCCTGAAGAGTCGCCTGGATATTTTTTTATCAAATTGAGGTCTGGGCTATTCCCAGATTGACCATTATATGCCCAGAAGAAGAACGGGTTCTCAAAGCACCAGTCTTGCGTCTTTTTGGCCGTGAGAGGAAGGACTTCATCAATCATGAAGAAGAGTTTCTTTGCGTCGGGCACAAAAGTGCGCTCAATCATTTTGCCCCTTTTGGTGCATTGATGGATTAGATAAAGAGACTCGTATGGAAGGATGTTCCACTAGTTGTATACTTTATTTTTGGTGGCCTTGTTGGTCACTACATGCAATTCTGACACCATCCGGGCGCTCATAACACGCTGATGTGTGTTCCTTTGCCGGATGTTTGAAGGTTGGGACGGGCGGGACGTCGGACGCATCAGCAGCCCCCAACGCGTTGTTCTGCAGGTTTGACGGATGAAATAGCTTCGAAGATGTCTCACCCAACCACAAAGCCAGCTGCCTGTCCTCCTCTGTTCAGGTTTGGCGGTCTTTAGAAAACTTAAATTGACAATCCTGCTGTTAATTCATGAATTTTGGCCATATCGATTGTTTGTACGGCTTGATTTTCGAATTTTCACAGATTTATGTATGAATCGTGATATCTTAGATCGGGTACCCGGCCAAAGTAAACCATTTCGCCTGTTTTCGGGTCGACTGTTGTCGTTTGGTCGCGGAAATGGTGACCACCCATTCGGCGCCTGAATTCGCCGAGGTTTTACTGCCGCCAACGGCTTTGCCTTTTAAGTCATCTTAAGTTTTATTATGCTTCAACCAAAGGTGTAATTGAGTAATGCTGGTGCCGAGACCGTTCCGAGTCCCTTCCGCACCAATCCAGCCAAAATAATCACAAACGCTTTCCCTGGCAACTTCAAATTGAGCTCTTTGCCCATTTTGGTCTTGAGCAGCGTATGGCGTCAGCACCACTCGAAGCCGAGAGGTGTTGTAGACCTTCCAAGTCATTTTTCAAAGTAAGGTCACTTTTGTTAGATAAGGCGACAACAAACACGACCAGTCATGTTCCATAACAGCCCGCGCTCATACAGAATCTCCACTGACGGGCGAAATTGTAAGAAAATACATGTTCGCGTAGGGTGAATAGGTCAAAAACGCGAAACCTTCTGACACTCAACCCAATTCAGATTACTCAAACCTGTGGGCACCATCATGTAGCTCATTCTTTTTACTACGCTTTGAGACCAAAAAAAGACACTTGCGTGTGGTATTTAACCCCCCAAAAAGGTTTCCGCATACCCTTACAAAAGGGCGTTTTGCCCCACACCCTGGGTAATACGCCCACACCCATGTGCAAAGCGCCCCCACCCCATCCATCAACAGAAAATGATGAACATGGCAGAACTTGACGTCATTCTGACGTCATTTGTGGTCAACCTATCATAGCCTTTGGAATAAAATGTTGTTGCAATGTGTAAAATGGATGCCCGGAGGAGTCCTGAAAGTTTGGTGACGATATATGCAGTCGTTTAGGATATATCAGCAAAAAAGGACAGGGAGAGGCCTTTTCGGCCCCGACCTACACGGCGCTACCCTGCACTCTCGCCACCGTGCAAAACGCCCCCCTTTCAGAAAACTGGGGGCGTCTTGCCCCATGCATTGAGGAGGCGTCTTTCCCCATCCACTCCATTTCCGGTCAACAAAATATTGACAAAAAACGCGCCACTAACGCCGCAGCATAATAAATTCAACAGAATGACAATAAAACGCAGTTTTGAGTGATGTGCACAATAGCAAGTTTTGTGATATAAAGAGGGCATCAAAAGCTTAGGAATCTTCTGTAAAAACAACAAAAACAGCACCCAAAACCAACATCAGCGCCTACCCACGCTGCTCCTCAAGACGCAGAACCGGAAATAGAGAACTACGTAAACAAGCAGCTGACTGTTCTGAAAGCCAGGATAAAACACCTATTCGTCGATAAGATCTACGATTTTTTTAGGGGAGGCGTTTAACCCAGGGGTGCGTTTTCCCCACAGTTACCCTAATTACTTTCCACCCTGTACACTCAAATGACAAATCACCTTCAATTGACACCTACTGGCTACTTGACGATTAGTTGTACCAAGTGCAGTGCACACTGGCGGATCCAGACTTGCGTTTTGGGGGGGGGGGCCAACTCATGCAGGAGCCAAACCTAGGGTACCCCCAAATCCTGTTTTCTCATCGGATTTAGGCCACTTATTTTTCGTCACAGCCCTGACACTATGAATATTTTTTTTTTTAACTAAAAATAAAATATACAAATGGTAGCCCACCCGACCCATGCCTTTATATTACTTTGTAAACACTTACTATTGCTTTTGTCGACCAGTTAACCCGCGTCGAGTCAGTGCTTGGGTCCCTTTGCGGGCCGGGAGGTGGTAAAACGGGAGGTGGTCTAACTCGGCTCCTGGGCCAGGCACTGATTGAACTGTGCTTCATTATCGCTTGGGGGAGGGGGCAAACGGGCCACTTTAGGCCTCTGGGAAGGGGGCATGACCCTAAATGCCCCCTCCCTGGATCCGCCAGTGTAAGAGACCATTGGAGCTGCAGTTGAGTACCTCAGACGTCAGGGTACGTCCTTAGATGTATAGGACTCGCATGGAGACCTCTTATGCTATAGTGGACTGAAAGGACCCAAAGGAGCCTGTCTAGGGCTCCCGGAGATAGACGTGGGCCCTCAGGAGCCCGCCAGAGCCCCCAATGAGGGATAAGTGAGGGATACCAAGTGCCTGCAATTGCATATCGCATAAGCCATAACGCCATTACAAATCAATATAATATGTACCAGTGGCAGATCCAAGGGGGGCCACATGGGTCATGACCCCCCTTGGTGCCCGGGGGCACCACAGGCCTGTCAAGGGCACCACCGGCCTAGCAGGGGCACCACCAGCCCGCCAGGGGCACCACAGGCCTAACAAGGGCACCACGGGCCTGTGAGGGGCCCCACAGTCTAGGCTTGTCAGGGGCACCCCAGGTCTGTCAGGGACACCAGAGACCTGCCAGGGGCGCCGCCGGCCTCGCAGGGGCACCATGGGCCTGTCAGGGGCACCAGAGGCCTAGCAGGTGTACCACAGGCCTTACAGGGGCACCTTGGGCCTGTCAGGGGCACCACAGTCCTGTCAGGGCCCAGGGGCACCAGCGGCCTAGCAGGGGCACCACAGGCCTGCCAGGGGCACCACCGGTCAAGCAGGGGCACCACCGGCCTCGCAGGGGCACCATGGGCCTGTCAGGGGCCCCACCGACCTCGCAGGGGCACCACCGGCCTCGCAGGCATCACGGCATCACGCAGGGGCACCTTGGGCCTGTCGGGGGCATCACGGGCCTGTTGGGGGCACTTTAGGCTTGTCAGGGGCACCACAGTCCTGTCAGGTCCCAGGGGCATCAGCAGCCTAGCAGGGGCACCCTAGGCCCGCCAGAGGCACCACAGGCCTGCCAGGGTCCAGGGGCACCACAGACCTACCAAGGGCACCACGGGTCTGTCAGGGGCACCTCAGGCTCCCGTGCCCCCCCCCCCGGATCCGCCAGTGATGCCACACCACGCGAAACACCGCCAACTCCCAGCTACCGCGCCATAAACACGTGCCAACAAGTCTTTTTTGAAGGTCGACTCCACTCGCGCAACTTTTGACTGACCCTCACTGCTACCATATTGCTTCCATATTATGCTGTGGAAAGCTTTACTTCACCAAGTGGCTAAAAACCTCCATCAAGGAATATTTTCTTAGCAATTTTTCTTACGTTTTTGGGGGGGGGGGGCCAAACAGGCCACTTTAGGCCTTTGGGGGGGCCATGGCCCCCGTGGCCCCCCCCTGGATCCGCCAGTGGCAGTGCACGTGCGAACTGTTCGTTCACGCCAGTTGGTAACAGCTAGTTATCACCACCACCATTTATAGTCACCGTGGTTATCACCATGATGACGCCTAACGTTGCACTTAGCAAATGTGTTGTCTGCGTCAATTGATTAATTGCCACTAGGCACTTAAGTGTGCCGTTTAATTTATATACATGCGAGATGCCAGTGGCATTGGCGGTTGTTTAGCTTAGCGAGAACTGAGGCCGATATTCGCCCTCTATTTCAATCCATAGGGACCATTGTTGACCTCTCTCCATCCCTTTCTGACGACTGACGAGCGTCTGGCTGTCGTTGCAGCGCTGTCGCAGCTGTGCCGCAGCTCCGACTCGGGCCCGGTCTACCTGAGCCCTGTGACGGTGCCGCTCCAGTTCTGGGTGCTCTTCATCACCAACCAGGCGCTCAACATCTCCTGGCTGTTCGTCTGGGACCGCGAGCTGATGACGGCCGCCGCCGTCTTCCTGTTCCTCATCGTCATCACCAACTGGCTGGCCATGTACATCCTGCACTCCAGGTGAGCACCAGCTGAACACCCTGCACTCCAGGTGAGGACCAGCTGAACACCCTGCACTCCAGGTGAGGACCAACCGTACAGTACACCCTGCACTCCAGGTGAGGACCAGCTGTATATCCTGCACTCCAGGTGAGGATCAGCTGTACACCCTGCACTCCAGGTGAGGACCAGCTGTACTTACATCCTGCACTCCAGGTGAGGACCAGCTGTATATCCTGCACTCCAGGTGAGGATCAGCTGTACACCCTGCACTCCAGGTGAGGGCCAACTGAACACCCTGCACTCCAGGTGAGGACCAGCTGAACAGTCACCCTGCACTCCAGGTGAGGACCAGCTGAACATCCTGCACTCCAGGTGAGGACCAGCTGTACATCCTGCACTCCAGGTGAGGACCAGCTGTACATCCTGCACTCCAGGTGAGGACCAACTGAACATCCTGCATTCCAGGTGAGGACCAACTGTACATCCTCCACTCCAGGTGAGGATCAGCTGTACACCCTGCACTGCAGGTGAGGACCAGCTGAACACCCTGCACTCCAGGTGAGGATCAGTTGAACATCCTGCACTCCAGGCGAGGATCAGCTGTACAGTGTACATCCTGCACTCCAAGTGAGGATCAGCTGAACACCCCTGCACTCCAGGTGAGGATCAGCTGAACATCCTGCACTCCAGGTGAGGATCAGCTGTACAGTGTACATCCTGCACTCCAGGTGAGGACAGGGCCTCGGCTAACATGTTAACTGGTGGGCCAAATGACCCACCAGTGACCCGAAATGGCCCACCAGCCTCAAAGATTTGGCCCACCAGTAATTTTCCGAAAAATCTAAGTTTTCACATTTTTTCACATTTCAAATTGAAATAGCAGATCTTATCGTACATTTTCAGGCTGTAAAGTACCCATCGGTGAAACATATTCTTGTGAAAAAAATTCAACCTATTGTTTGCAATATCCTCTTGGGTGGACTATAATACCCACAACTTAAAAAAAAATCCACCACCTACGTCTTTGCTGTATGATTTTTACTTCGATTTCCATGTGATGTCACAAAACTTCCATGTCCAGTGGTGTCCGGTGTGCTCAACCGGACACCACCGGATATGGAACGGATATTAACGGATGACAAACGGATGCCCAACGGAAACAAACGGACATCACCGGACGCTGACAGTTCTCGTCCGTTTCTCGTCCGTTGGTCCAATCCGGTGAAGTGTGACCGAGGCTTTAAATTTTATGCAATAATCGTGAAAGACGTCTGCCTCTGTCAATTACAGATAGTGTCGGCGGCTTCCAGCCGATCGAGGTCTGCGAAAGTTCTTGCAAGCTTTCCGATCGATCGAGTGGTTGCAGTCACATAAGCATCTGCCGCAGACCAGTCGGTTAGGGGAAGGTGGGGTAAGACGGACCAGCTAAGGTTTGAGGCCGCATATCTTGCTACACTGCTCTCATAATTCATATTATTTATAGTCTTCGGAATGCTCAATCCTTCCTCTGTTGATATGTGTAAAGACTAAATTTCAACTTAAAGACATCTAGGTGGTGGATGCTCTTAAATAGGGACATGTCAAAAACTCAGACAAGAAAAAACGTGGGGTAAGACGGACCACCCAGCAGTGCCTGCTATCCGTTCATGTGTGTTACACTTCTGCTCTGTACTCTTGTAAGAAAAAGTAACCAGAATGGTAAAATAACAAAATGAGCCTTTATTATTTACTCATGTGTGATAGAAGTGCAGCTAAAAGCTGGGAATATGTGTGTTGATTGTCGTTTGGCATGAATGCATGCTAACTGAGCACTTGCATGCATGGCTCACATGCAACAAAGACTCCTTCCTGAAAAATTAGCTTACTTAAACTTGTGTCAATGTTTTGGAAAAGAACTTTCCATATGCAGGGTACAATGGACCACCACAGGGTAAGATGGACCACAGTGGTCCGTCTTGCCCCAAATCTAAATTTTGTCATTATCATGACGTATATGTCAAATAGCCCAACATTGCAAAACCTTGCCTTTCCTAAACTGTGACTATAACTAAGTTTGTAACTTTGCTCTTCACAGTAAAGTGCAAAATAGAAACTAATCATGCAAGAAAGGCGCCGTAATTGAATCACCCGTAGACCTCTTATATTAGATCGGTTTGACGAAAAACAACATTTTTCTCAATAACTCAAAAGCTATGCATCCTAGCAGCATGAGCTCAAGGTGGCCATTGTTACGAAGGAAAACAAACATAGTGAGTGCATAAAGCAGTAGATACCAGCAGCGGTTCAGCCGGGAGGGCTGGTGGTCCGTCTTGCCCCGCTGGGCCGTCTTACCCCACCTTCCCCTACAAGAAAAACTACGAATAAAGAACAGACCAGTTCAGACGGTCGGGTATAAGCCTGCGAGCGATCTCAGACGGCTCGTCGATATACACGATACAAGCCAGAGTCAAACTAGAGGTAGTGTCGGCTACTTCCAGCCGATTGAAGTCTGCAAGCGATATTATGCGTCTTCACGACCGGTATGATTCTTGCAGTCACACATCTGTCCAGTCGGACGAATTTCGAACCATTCACAGTCAGCGTTCCAAAAATTTCTCATTTGGGCTGAAGATGACACTCAAGAATAAGAATGGATAATTTTCCACTCTCACATTTTGGCAGGCACGTAGCTAGGATTTGGCCAAGGGAGGGGCGGAGGAATCCCGGGGGCCTCCTTTCTACAGCTCGGGCCTCCTCCCTAAAGGGGCCTCCTTTCTACAGAGGGTCTCATGCCTACATATGTAATTACATATACAACATAATGCAGACTTTTGTTCAGCTTTCATATGGCGAGCGCACTGGTATGTTTCTTTATTCTTACCGCTGTCGCGGTAAGAAACATACGCATATCACAAGTCTCCCAGTGGCATGGTAACTGGCAAAAAAAAAAAACTCGGGCGCCGGCGGCGGCGGCGGCGGCGGCCGGACCGCAGCAGGAGGGGGGGGGGGAGGATCTGCGAGGAATGGATGGATACTGGATGACGGTCAGAGTACCTAACACTTGGTGTATTATCATATATCGTTCAAGCGCTTAACCGTATTCCGGGCGGGCTCTGAAAGACTCTGAATCGGGCGGGGGCCTTTTTGGCCCCCGTCAGAACTCGAAAAGCACGAATCGTAGCGACAAACGGCAACGGCGTTTGATAGTTCGTTGAACGACTTACAACTTTTGTAAACAACTTTTTTGGGTCAGGTCAATGTTGAGGTCGCCAGAGGTCATAACAAATAACATGGTTTATAACGACCTACATAGATAGTTCAACTTCAAAATCTGACCTAGGAAGGTCACGCTGGGTACCAATCGGCGCGTCATGACCAGGCGAACGGTTTGGTACACTAACAACTATCTAGCCCCATCATGTCGTGATTTATTGGCTAAAAACTGTTGATTACCTCACCTCACCTCAGATGATCCTTCCCGGTGCCCCTGTCAGTAAATGCCACCTGGGTGCTTACATATCAGATAATCTGACCTGACGTAGGTACCTAATTCAGAAGGAATTGGGTGGTTTTGACTCGTTTTCTCGAAGCAGGACACAGTTCATTATATTTTCCAATAGGCAAGTTACATGTTTTGATGGGATGATAATATTGATAATATTTATAATATTAAGATAATATTTCCAATAGGCTTGTCACGATTCTGACCTGACTGACGTCTGCAAGATTGAAACTATACGGTTATCAATTTTTTTATGTGTGAATGATGCCACGTTTACTTGCTGTAAGTAAAACATGGTTTCGTTAGTAAATTTTCCTATGGTCCAGGTGGTTTGCTTCATTTACGCCGTAGATGAAACAAACAATCGATGGATAGGTATATATTAATTTCCCGGTCAAATAAATTATTATGAGTTGTGCGAAGCATGGCTATGGGAATATCACCACGGTCTGATAAATGGTTTGGGTAATTGCATCCATCGTAAAAATACCAACACAGCCACAGAGGGCTTCCTCTCTACAGATTGCCTCTTATCTACAGAGGGCCTCCTCTCTGCTGAGGGTGTCTTTCTCTCCAGAGGGCCTCCTTTACAGAGGGCATCCTCTCTACAGAGGGCATCCTCTCTACAGAGGGCCTCCTCTCTAGTCTCTACAGGGACCTCCTCTCTACAGAGGGCTTCCTATCTATGTAGGGCCTCCTCTCTTCAGAGTCTCGTCTCTACACAGGACCTCCTCTATAGCGAGGACCTCATCTCTGCAAAGGGCCTCCTCTCTTCAGAGGGCCTTCACTCTACTGAGGGCCTCCTACCTACAGAGAGGACCTCCTTTCTACTGAGGGAGTCCTCCTCTACAGAGGGCCTCCTCTCTTCAGACGATCTCCTCTCTACAGAGGGCCTCCTCTCTACAGAGTTCAGAGGGCCTCCTTTTTACAGAGTGCCTCTATTTTACATAGGGCCTCTTTTTTACAGAGGGCCTCCTCTCTACAGGGGGTCTCCTCTCTAAGGGGGCCTCCTCTCTACACAGGGCCTCCTACCCACAGAGGGCCTCCTCTCTACTGAGGAGACAGAGGGGCCTTAGCGGTCAGACACAGACACTAGTGGTTATTCACAGGAGATGAGAAGGGCCCTAGCTGTCACTTGTCAGGCTGGTCAGAGGGCCCTGATTGTTCTGACGTCATTTTTTAGATTCCCGGGTGAATTTCGTTCGCCTCCGACGTGATTTTGGCCAACGTGGGCCTTCGGCCCACGTTGGATTCAGGCCGAAAGGATTCAGGCCAACGTGGGCCTTCGGCCCACGTTGGCCTGAATCCTTTCGGGGGGCCTCCTGAAAACCCCAAGGGAGGGGCGGGCGCCCCCTCCGCCCCCCCTTGGCTACGTCCCTGCATTTTGGGTTACTAGAATTTTCCACTCAGACACCAAAGAGAAATCTGAAGTTTGGGACACTGTTCACCAAAAGCGTACATAACTTAGTTTTTTAGAAAAATATTAGGGTTGCACAGTGCGCTTGGGCTTTTGAGTCAATTCTTTTCCATGCGACACCAATATGCTTAATGATCATTTTCAGAGATGTTGGGGCTGCTGCTACAACCCCCTTTTGGGGTTCCTGCTACAACCCACTTTACTTAAGTTGCACTCGTGCTGTTCACAATTCCTTCCGATCCACCCGACAACGCCCGATCCCATCCGACCGTTTCCGAATCTCCGACTAGTCGGCGAGCGATCCACTCAGGGCTCGCTGATTTTTAACATCCGACCGGCCGTAAGTTATCGTCCAAAGTTTTATTTGCGTCAATATTTTGTGCATACTTGTGCGATTTTATGTGCACCGCCGGAGTATCACCACTGAGAGGGTTGTGGGTCCCTACTCTCTACTCTCTCCTCTCTCTGAAGAGTCGGGTGGGAGGGGTCGAGGCCCTTTTTTCATTTTTTATGCCATCCTGACGTTTTTTTTCAGAATAAAGTGGCCGAAATCTGGGGAGAAATCGAAAATTGGGGGGGGGGGGGCTATGGCTACGAAGGTCAGTCCATGTCGCTGCCCAAGTGGCCCACCAGTCAAAATTCCTTAGCCGAGGCCCTGGGTGAGGATCAGCTGAACACCCTGCACTCCAGGTGAGGATGAGCTGAACACCCTGCACTCCGGGTGAGGATCAGCTGTACACCCTGCACTCCAGGTGAGGACCAGCTGAACACCCTGCACTCCAGGTGAGGACCAGCTGAACACCCTGCACTCAAGGTGAGGATCAGCTGAACACCCTGCACTCCAGGTGAGGATCAGCTGTACACCCTGTACTCCAGGTGAGGACCAGCTGAACACCCTGCACTCCAGGTGAGGACCAGCTGAACACCCTGCACTCCAGGTGAGGATCAGCTGAACACTCTGCACTCTGCAGGTGAGGAGCTGAGCTGCCGTTCAGCACAGTCAACCAGTCCAGCCATGTCCATTATCCAGCTTAGAGACACATATATCTTATTGCTGTTCATGACTGTTGTCACCGACGGTTGTTGCAATGACTTGCCCATGCCGTTGTTAGGTTCACCGGTTTGTTACTGCAGGTGCAGCACATACCTTTACGTAGATATCATGCATTGATATATGATTAATTAATTCATCCTACACCCGGCCCTTACCGGTGTGTATCCCTGCACCTGGTAGCCGACATTCCGCGCTGACAGCGATCAATAACTGCGGGTTGTACCGCTGCCGTATAAATAACGGGACGTCCGCCGCTGTCCGTCAGGCTGGTCCAGGACGGCGTGCCCGTGGAACTGCCCCGCCCGGAACTGATCGCTCTCCGGGTCACCATGCATAACGGGCTGGCCGTCTACACGACCTGGACCACGATTGCGGCGCTGCTCAACCTCGACATCGCCATCGTATACGTCGCCGGGGTGCGTATATACGGTCGCCGGGGGCGTATGTTTTACGGTAGGGCTAATGGGCTGTGAATGATGTGACGGTGAACGTTTTACAAAGCCCTAGACCTGATGGAGTGAAAGTCGTACAATATAGGTACATGCCAATACCGTGTTGCGTAGTAGGCGAACGGTGAATGTCTTTTTAATTTGAAGCGATCAATAGCTAATTAAACGTTCATGCCAGTGTCGCAATACGATTTCCAGGACAGAATTCCGACACGACAGACTGCGGAACCCACCGGCCGCCCGGCAAAATGTGTCCTTCATCCTCACACTTAGTGTGCACTTAAAATGTTAGCCCAGACTTTTCTGAAAAAAATGGGTTCCTTAGCAATTACGTTAAAGCTTATTAAAAATATTTAACTTAAATCCAAAACAATCACAAATACAGTTCTGCTCGTAGTGTAGCGTAGTATAAAAAACTGAAGTCCTAAAATATGTATATTATAAATTATGAAACATACAAATTACAACTGGACCCCTATGATATCGCCGCTCTCTGAGCCCTCAGTCACGCCCCCGGGTGATGCCTTCTGGTCCCTGACACCCCTGTCCGCGCCAGGCGTCGAACGAGGTGGCCAGCCTGGCGATCGCCTGCGTACTTGGCGCGCTCATCATCCTCTGGCTGGTGCTGGAGCTCACCGTGCTTGACAAGTACACCCGGTGGACCATATCACCCGGATTCAGTGAGTTCGTCTGCTCTTTAGCTAATCGCCAATTGTCTTCCCCCACAACCTCTAGTCTCTAATACCCTGTCGAGCAATGAACGGCGACATTATGGATCCGTGTGCCCATACAGCATACACACTGTGCGTGTGCCCACAGCCCATTCTTTGTTTCGATAGGTACCTGACGTGTACGGACAAGAAGCCAGTGTGTCATGTGGACCCCGTTCAAATAACCTGACCCTGACTCTGTCCGTGCGTCCCTCAGCCCTGGTGTGGGCGCTGTCCGGTGTGTTCGACAACAACTACTGGCGCGCGCCGGGCGCCGTGCCGGCCGTGCTCGGCGCCGTGCTGGGCGTGGCCTGCCTCTGCCTGCTGATCCGGCTCGTCGTGCTCGTCGTCTACGTCGTCTGCCCGCCGGCCGGCCGGCGGAGCGGCAGTGTCGACATCGCCGGCCGGCTCAACGGCGGCTTCAGCCAGTAGCCGCCGGCGGCGCCGCCAGCGACGGGCCGGACCGGGTGGAGGTGGAGGGACCGAGTGGTCGGACCCGGCCGGGACGAATCACAGGGAGAAGGGAAGGGGAGCACACTGGAGACGGACCACTGCATAGAGTGGACCGGAGGGAGTTGAGAAACACTGCCCGAGACGCGGGTCAGCGAGGGGAGGGCTCTGCACAGGGGGCGCCAGCGCCGTGTGGGCGGGATCAGCCCGGGTGACCTACGCCCGAATCGCCTATTCCATCGAATGTCTACGCCCGGGTGACCTACGCCCGGCTGACCTACGCCCGAATCGCCTACTCCATCGAATGTCTACGCCCGGGTGACCTACGCCCGGCTGACCTACGCCCGAATAGCCTACTCCATCGAATGTCTACGCCCGGCTGACCTACGCCCGGCTAACCTACGCCCGAATCGCCTACTCCATCGAATGTCTACGCCCGGGTGACCTACGCCCGGCTGACCTACGCCCGAATCGCCTACTCCATCGAATGTCTACGCCCGGGTGACCTACGCCCGGCTGACCTACGCCCGAATCGCCTACTCCATCGAATGTCTACGCCCGGGTGACCTACGCCCGGCTGACCTACACCCGAATCGCCTACTCCATCGAATGTCTACGCCCGGGTGACCTACGCCCGAATCGCCTATTCCATCGAATGTCTACTAGCGTACGGCCTGCCCGTGTTCGTGGAGCAGTCCCTGCTGTATTATCGAGTAAGGATTTACCCATTCACTACGCCGGCTGACTGGCGGCCCCATCCTTTGTTTGCTCTGTTGTCGTCCGTCGCCCGTCGCGGCGGTGCCCAGGCCCGGGGGTCGCCTGGCGCAGCGGGGGGTAGCGTCCCGCCCCGCGGCCCCTGGCGCGGCGAGAGGTAACATGCCGCGGCGCACGGCACGGCGGGCCGCCGCCGCCGCCGCCGAGGGAGTGGACGCTGACAAGGATGAGGGCCGTGGGCCCGTGGCATCACCTGGGTTTGTATGGATTTTTGTCCATTTGGCCTGCTGGCTTAACACGCGCAGTGGAACGGTTGCGAGTACTACGCCCAGTGGAAGGAGACGGAACCGTCCCGCCCCGGCAAAGTCTACAATTCAGGCGGCGCGTAACGGCTAGCGCCGGCCGCCGCGCCGCCGCGCCGCCGCGGCGGCAGGATGTTTGACTTTACACCGCTATTACTAGAAAAGTTGGAAACCGATTTTCTTACCTCTTGCATGAGAAGATCCGCAATTCAATTCTGGACAGGTAGCCGAAATTTCACATTGATATTATGCTTGCGGCGCGAGTTATTGGCGAAAAACAGGAGGGGTGGGCGAAATCCGCCCCCCCCCCTTCCACTGCGCGTGTTAAGTCACCGATTACATTAAAAGGACAAGTGAAAATGAACCCCTGCACGAATTAGTGTCTTTGCCAACGGCTAACTTCAATTGCAGGAGGGTGAGGAGGGGTCGAAAGAACCACCCAGTGATTCATCCCTTGATTGAGCTATAGGGAAAGCGGGTTTGGCGAGTGGAAGCCAATGAAATAAATTTTTATTGTCCTAAGAACAACTTGAACAGCCTTGACTTTTCCAACAACTTGACAAGAGTCATTGCCATAGAGTGCATCAAGTTTCAAGTTGAACATATTTTTTTTTTGAAAAATGTGAAGTAAAGCCTTGCTTCTCCGTCAAGTGACGGTGTATCCAAATAACCCGACCGTTGGGTAACTTGAACAGTCTTTCTTTGCACGCCATGAAATAGTTATCTGGCTATCACCGATGTTGTTTGGTGTATAAACAAATAGGCACAACAGCTCTAACATAGGTACCTTATTGAAGAAAGATTAAAACAACAACAAAAATAACCGTTGCAGAATATCAATATCTGCTTGCTGCACACCAGCCAGTTGACAGAGTTTGGCTTCTCTCGTCAGTTGACAGATCGTCTATATCTCCGTTCGGTAAAACCTATCACAAACCTTACCACATCTGTTAGAGTGGTGCCAATTGGATTTTGTACCTTCAGAATTCCGATTTTGTCCTATGCCCAAATCGGAATTTGGTTGGACAAAGGCAGCATGCTTTGGACAATATTTGTCAATTACTTGCAACACTTCAGCATTTTTATAAAGTAATCGTGCACACCAGTAAAAACGCCTTTTGGGGCGACCAACGGAGTGAGCGGGAGGGTGGGCCTTGCACGTGCGAAATTGCGAGGGGGTACCACCAAATAACTTGTGCACTGCACCCCAAGACCTACTAACCGGTCCCTAGTGATGTGACAAATTTGAGCGCAATCGGCCCAGCCGTTCTTGAGATCTGGAAGCGGCACCCTGCATGTGCGCACGTGCCAACTGGGTCCCAACTGACTTTTGCACGGCACCCTACCAACTGCTCCCTAACCGTGTACCAAATTTGAGCGCAATCAGTACAGGCGGCTTCGAGATCTGGAATCGACCCCTGCGCGTGCGCACGTGTAACAGCACCCCAAATCTGGCACATGGATATGCATGGCTTAGTGGGTGCCTACCTACATGCTAACTTTCAGCTCAATCTTTCGGTAAAAATATTTTCGGGTCATGTCAGGTCACCGAGCTATGACCTCACAATAGGTAAAACCTCCGACTCTTTTTGACAAAATCGTACATCTGGCGTAACTGGACGCGATCCCATCGACAAGAACGAAATTATTCTGTGACTTATGTCAGATTTTGACAGGACATGAAACATTACATCGTATATTGACCTTTCTAAGGTCAACAAAGGTCATTGACCTCGCATGTCTGTGTTTAGTAGGGTTTCTTGAGGTCCTGAATCCGAATCTGTGGTTCAATCTTCATCTAAATGCTTTCAAAATTGTTCCTCGATCTTTACAAGGTCACCTCAGGTCAATTAGGACAGTCCTCGCCAGCGGCGGGTGTGACTCTCGTGTTCCCGGGGACTATGTCACGCCAGTAATGACTGAACTGCAGTGAACTATGCATCATTTTGTTGCTAATTCATTGAGAAACACGGTCGTGAAAGTTTCATGTTGATATCTTTCATAGATTTGCCATTATTGGCTAAATGGCTTGGAAAATTTTAGCTTTTCCCCGTAATTTGATCGTTGACTAGCCAAAACGGAGTCAAATATTGACCTAGGATAAAAATATAGGTATCACCAGTTGCGAATACTCGTAAAGAGCAATCGACTTGTCTTTGTAGGGAAGCGCTACGACGCTTAGTTTCGAAACGCCAGGAGGTCGGATCCCCCCCCCCCCCCAGGCCGCGTTACGAAAAATGCCCTGCCAGGGCGAGGGTTATAATAGCACGATCTAGGCGTCCAAAAAAGGGGTGTGATATTGATACGCAACGTAGCATTTGATGAGCGGCTTGGTAATAGTTAGATTGTCCTGGAGTGACTCAATTCAGTTAACCCTCGCCCGTAAACGGCGATCTGCCACCTTCGCCCATGCAGGGGGGGGGGGGGGGGTTGGTGCGACCCCCCCCCTTGGCGTTTGAAAACGGAGCGTCGTAGAGCTTAGCGGAAAAGACCAACGGATTGCTCTCGCCGAGATCTCGCGATTGGTGGTATATTTTTTGGTCCTAGGTCAACATTTGACCTACTTTTGACCGGTCAAAGGTCAAATTTTCGGAAAAACAGACTTTTTTCAACTTTCCGCGGCGATTGCGGCAAAACGGTGGGAGATATCGACTTGAAACCTTCACTATCGTGTTGCTTGATCAATTCTCTATCGTTTGGTATGTATTTCGTTTCCCTAGCTCTAAAAATGGCGCGTTGGGAGCGCCCGAAGTCGGCAAGGTCACAGTCGGCGGCAGAAATTCGAAAAATCAAAATTTAAATTTTTGAAATCTGATTGTATTTTTGGATTTGGGAGGTCCATTTGCTCCCTATAGAAGCTAATATTGCTGCATATTCCCATTGAGGTGACAAGAATTAGCAAAATAGTGGTTCGGGCGCTTTTCAAAAATAGTACCGGACGCTGTTCCTCTTGTGACGTCATAGCTCCGTGACCTGACCTGACCCGGTCAAGTTTCTTATACCATATGATAGCCAATACTTGCCCCAACATGCATGGGAAGTTTCATCACGATCCATCAACCGATGTCCGTACCACCGGCAGGAAACCTCGGGCGTTGGCACTCAGTTTGTGAAAATCCGGCCGGAGGCTGTTCCCTTTGTGACGTCATAACTCCGTGACCTGACATGACCCGGTCAAATTTTTTTTATCAAAAGATGCGCAAGGTTTGCCCCATAAGGTACCCAAAATTTGGCGGCGCTGCGCGCCGCCGTTTTTGCACTATTTCCGAAAAACCTCAGGGGGGGGGGGGGGTTGCACCAACCCCCCCCCTACATGGGCGAGGGTTAAGTTCTGGAACACTTGCAAGCTATTAAAAAGATATCTAGGCGCGTCCAGTGAATGTTGGAAGGTATTGGAAAGTAATTACATGGAAAGTATGGAAAGTGTACACACAGCGAATATTTTCTACTCAGATCATGACGTTAAGTGTGTAAAATAACAAATGCAATAGCGATTGAAATGAACATTTTTTGTAGGTTCACAAGTGAACAAGAGGTGCCAGGTGGATCATAGGTGGACCCCGGAAAAGAAAGGGAGATCGATTTCACCTGCCAACTTCGGTACCCTAACGCCATCTATGAATTTTCAAATTAATTTGGGTAATTTTATCACGCATTTTTGTAACATAATTAGACTATTGCCAACACGTTTTCGTGATATCACCAACGAAGAAACCGATTTATGTTGCATTTTGTGTGCTTCCTAATTCGATTACCTGTATCCGCCTTTTATTTTTCGAAATGGTTATATTTATGATTCATGTTAATATTTGGTTCATTCTGCATCGATCGGCAGTAATTATTTCAAAATTGGTTAACCCGGCAGGCGGTGGGCCTCCCAGCCACCTTCCGCGCGGTGGGGGGGGGGGCATTTTTTGCCCCCCCCTCGTATCTCCGAAACTACTGGACGGATCCGGAAAATTCAAACGGCGTTCGATAGTTCTGTCAAATTTGTTGAAGGAAACCAAATTTCATTGACCTCGGGGTCACCGATGACGTCACAGGTCAGGTCAAAGATAAAATGTTTCACCGTTCACGGGGCCTCTAGGGAAAGCGCTATAACACCGAGTAAAACGCATTTTGTCGAAAATCAGCGATAAGCCGTCAGTTGTCTAGTACATACGTTGCTATTAGAGGTCACTGGTCATACCAGGTCAGCTCACAGGTCAGGTCACCAAAGGTCACCAAGGGTCACCACATGAACCCAACTTTACTAAAGTTGTGGGATGCATGTTTTATGGCCAGTTTTTCATTCCCAACTCAATGGTATTGGTTATAAGACCATCAGGTACGGTTTAGGTCACTTTCTGGTGGAGGTCAGGTCAAAAGAGGTCAGATTTCAAAGTTGATATTTTTGCATAAAATGGGCATCGGTTCGATGCATCTCGTCAAGGGGAGTCTAATGGTGGTCTTTGTTTTGCGCTACGAGGTCTAGAATTGCTAAAATTTGAGTTTGAAAATTTGACGTCATCAATTTTAAACAGTTTTTTCGCTATAACTTGGCCAAAAAATAGGTATTGATCTCAAAGTTGGTATGGAGATAGAAGGCGGTAGGGACTATCACATATATTCCGGTTTTTTCGAAATTCAAAAACTTATTGGATTTGCCCAGCTAACAATTTGCCGTTGTTACAACGTCGTTTAAACGTTGTCAAATGCTTACCACAACGTCCCGATTTATCGTTGTGACAACGTAATTTTGTAGACTCCAGACAACGGCGTGACAACGTCATCCGACCATGCATTTGAATGTCATCACAACGTTTCTGTAACGTGGCCGTGACGTCCCAAAACTGTTCTTACAACGTCCCGCCAACGTTATGAAATGTTTTCTGTAACGTACCAACAGTGTTTCTGGAACGTTGTCACCACGTTTCCGCAACGTGACTACAAGGAGTATAGAACGCTTTGGCAACGTCTCTGCGACGTTTTTATCACGTGCGCACCACGTTGTCGCTACTTCGCATTGCCGTCCCTGCGACCCTGAGTAAACGTCCTAAACATTTTCGCAACGCCCTCTCAACGTGTTCGCAACATACTCAGAATGTGTTTCCGACGCTCTCTTCCCGTTCTCTAGACTTGTAAAAAAGGCATGTAAGAAGTGTATATTTCAATACATCATACAGGTCAATTTACAACAAACAAACAAAACGACGGCGGCGGCATCGGTGATGGGGCATGGGGCCCAGGGGCGCCCCCATGGGGGCGTGGGACGGAATTGGGTTCTACCGGCTCTGACGCTAGCCGCTAGCACGCCAGAACTGGTGGAAGTTCACTTCTTTACTAACCCTCGCTGGGAGGATCACTCGGCGGACCGTTAGGCACCGGCTCATTTGCGGCCTCGATGTCCCTAGGCAGCTGGCAGTGCCTGACTAGACGGTCTGCGCTCCCCCCGTTCCGGTCGCAGCTTCCGGACAGCCACTTCGCTACCGCATTGCCGACAGTAGGCCTGCCGCAAGGCGCGCTGACGAGTTGCAGGACGTCTGCGGGAAGACATGAGGGAAAATCAGACATTCAATTCATGAAAAAATCACAAAAATACCTGCACCACTTTCCGTAACAGTGCGACAGGCTAGATCAAACTGAAACATGTCAACACCTTAGAGGCCAGAGCTACAATGAACTATAGCCTAGACCGCACGATATTACAAGGCACAATCTTGCAAATGCTACTCGTAAATGGTACTTTGACTTACCAGTCAAAACAACAATCGCATCAAACGCAGACAACTGGCGCTATCTTTCATCTTCCAGCTATCTCAGCCGCGCCCGCCGCCGGCCCTC